AAAAAATGAATCCGCCTCAACAATATAGAACTTATCTACAACTTAAAAATGAGTTATTATCCATCTTCGAGAAGACTTGAAGACTCACCTGATGGTTGTATGCAACGTTAGTTCAATTCGCGGAAAAGCTGATGTTATCAACCATTAATAGGGCCGATTCCCAGTTAGTGAACATTTCGATCATAAATTTTCCTGTGAACAGGCATAATTTCCGGAACTTTCCGAATGATCGATATCTAATAAATCGAATGCTTAAAAGTGGTTTAGATTTGTAGGCTCATTTTTCATTCTTCTATTATGATGCGAATCGATTCGGCAAATACATGTCCCTGACAGCTATTCGATGAAACTCAGGACACGGGACAGTTTTCTTTCGCATGTATTATTCGCACAATTTTATGCGATGTGGGACTCAGTAGCGTAACACTAATGCCTTACGAAGAGCGCTAGTTTTCATGCATTCGCAAAAGCAACTCGATTTTAGGGGGTTTAGTGAGAAAAGCCGAAACCTTTTGAACCTGTGCTAATGTAACTCCTTGCAATAATGAAGGGAATAATCGACCTATAAATTTAGTTTTAGTTTTAAAGTTTCAAAAATATCTCGCATTATCTTGGAAATCCCGTCTGTGAGGAAGATACAAGCGATTGAGATCAACAGAATCAATAGATGATGAAATGCGAGACATTTCTTGAAACGAAACAATTCGAATTAAAAACGATAAAGTGAAGCTCTTTTGGCAGAAAATAATGATATTTCGTGTTTTCCTCGCTTACTAGGCATGGGTAACACTGTGTTCAGTTGCGCTATTGAGTTGTTGAGTTAACGAGTTATAACTCTTCGGTTAATGAGTTATAATTCATTTGTTAAAGCTTTACCCGAGACTGGCATTTCACATCTAAAAAATGTTTATTAACATTTTTCCTGAGTAACGTTTTACTACTTTGTTCAAACAACTAAAAAAGTAATCTAGATTTTCCCAGCAACAGAACTGAGTCCAAAGAAAGTCGAGCAGTTTTCTTGTAAAATCGATCTCTTCATGTTTTTGCATAAAAGATTCAGTTTGCCTTATTTTACGGTAAAACGTTAGGAAAAACGCGGTTTTTCTGTGTAGAAATATTGACCTAAAAGTGAAGAAACCCCAGTTTCCAAGAGTTTTCAAAATAAATGATTATACACTCGCTTTTTGAGTCCGGGGAAATATTTTTAGAAAAAGACCTAAAAATATTTTCCAAACATTTAAAAAGTTTTCCAAACATTTTTGCAAAGCGGTTAAGGGGGCGAGTGTTCCAAAAAAATGTATCTTATATTTGTTCACAGAAAATACCTGAAGGTTGCCAGCATTTTAAGTAAAACTAAAAAATAATGCGATTTTTTCGTAGAAAGAATTCCTTAATAGAAGTTTTGCTAAAACTGGAATGACCCGAAAATGTAAAGGAACTTTAGAAATCCTCAGAGCGATGAGGGCGGCGAATTTTCCTAATAACTTTTTGTAAACTTTGCTGTGGTCGTTTTTCAAGAAAATCTCAATTACTTTACTGAGTAAAATTATTTGGATTTTGTGCCAAATTCAAAGCTGAAACGGGTTTTCTAAAGTTCCCTGCAAACCTATAAATGGGGCGAATTTTCTAGCAAAATTAATTTTGTCATTTTTTGCTAAAAACACCTCATTATTGTCAAGAAAGAAGAGAATCATCAGAAAATAATGCTTTTTTGCGTTTTCGATTAAAAACTTTTAGTTTTGTGATCGCTATTTTGAAAGCAAAAATAAGAAATTTACAAAAAAATCAGACTCAATTTTGCCTTAACAGGCCTAAAAAGTTTTCACGGACATTGTGATTAATCTATTCCCCAAATAGCACAAAATATTACATACATATTTAGGAAATATTTATGTTTGCTAAATATTTCAGATCAAAGCAAGTATTTCTTAAATATTATTTTTAAAATATTTGTTTCTAATATTTAATTAGCATGAAACAAATAAGTTATTAATAATTTTCTTATTACATAATACTTTTKGTACCTATATATAACACCACTAACACGCAAAAAGTTACTAATATATTATTTTAATAAGTGGGAACAAACTTTAGAACATAATATTTCAATTTTCATTGGTCAATGAACAGAAAATATTTCAGAGCAAAAGAAAATATTTTTTAAATGTTATTTCAAAAATATTTGTTTCTAATATTTAATTAACATGAAGCACATAAATTAAGAATACTTTCTCATAGTACCAAAACTTTTTGTATTTATATATAACACCATTAACACCCAAAACGTTATTAATATATTATTTTTAATAAGTGTGAACAAACTTTAGAACAT